ATTATTAACTGAAAATAGGAAGAAGAAAAGTCACTATCTGATGATAAATGAGAGTAACTGTAAAGGTGAATTACTGCTAATAATCCCATTGTGTTTTCTGTGATGCCAAATGCATTGCCACTGAAAAAGATTTAATGTTTTACTATTTATGCCATTCTACTAGTACTGAAGAAATTGAGATGCAACTAAATAAATATGTCTATAACATGTATGAAACCCTAGAAAGCAAGGAACAAGAATCAGTTTGGTTTAGCAAGAGTTTCAACAAAGCAAAGTAGTTAATGGAGCTAAGGCTGGAAAGGAAAGCTTGAGTCAGGCATAGAGGGCCTTGAAAGCCAAATTTTCCAGGCTTTTCAACAGGAAGAAGGGAACTATTAAAGAAGTTAGAATGTGAGTTTGTGAACATTGATATTACTGGAAGGTGATTTTTAGGCACAATAATCAAAATGCATAAAAATTGAGAAACAACATTTAGGAATATTATTTAAGAAACTGCAAGACTGATGAATCAGTGAGATGCTGGGTTGCCAATATAGCCATGGTATTGGAAAGGAAACTAGAATATATGAAGGATAAAGGGTTTTTATGTTTTTTATTTATTTATTTAGTGTATGTGGTGTATGTGTAGGTACACACATGTATGTATGGTATGCATGTGAGGGTCAGAGGGCAACTTGCAGGACTTTATTTTTTTCTTTCCACTATGTGGGTTCTAGGGATTAGACAGGTTGTCAGTCTTGACAGAAAGCTCTCCTACGCAGTAATCAATCTTGCCAGACCAAAAGATACTTTGTGAGCTTTAATTACTACAAATTTAATGTTTGAACAACCCCCTATTCCTATGTATTAATGTTAATAGGATAGTATTTGGATTGGGAACTCTGTGAGGCATCCAGGTCATCATGACAGAACCCTGCCCCCCATGATGAACTAATGCTCTTTGTAGAGGGAGACAAGAGGGTGTTTGGGTTTTTCCCACCTCACTCTCTTGTCTACAATGTGAAGATACAATGGCAAGACAGCTATGTGAAAACCAGAAAGTAGGTCTTCACAGATAACAGACCTGCTGACATTGCCATCTTGGACTTCCCAGACTTCAGAACTGTAGCAAACAAATCTCTGGCATTTGAAGTACCACAGTATTCATTAGAGTAGACACAGCTATCTAAGACAGTAATGACTAGATGTAGAAGGCATCTCCTTAGAGAGTCAAGCCTGTGATTCTGAGGGGAATAGATGAGCTCTTGGCATAAAGTCAGCTGTGCACAGTGCTTGGCTTTGAATCCAATGAGTTTGAGGTATTGATAGCACACACTATTGAAGCTTATCAAAAAGCATTTTCCTCCTCAAAAAAGTGACTGTTGGTAAATGGACAGTCAAAGAGAGAGCTTAGACAGAGGCAAGCACTAAATGCAGAATCTCAGGAGAGTCGAAATTTGTGGGAGTGAAAAGATGTCACAGACAAAAGAAATAAGTCACATAACTGAATGAACAAAGCAGAGAACAAAGGAAACTACCAGAATGGGTCAAAGGCAACTCATAAAAGGTTAGGAAAGGAGTTGTATTGGTTACTAATCAGGCTTCAAATACTCTGCATCTCGGGACTGATGATTTTTGTCAAATGTTTGAAATTTCTGGATAAAGCCATGATATCTTTTCCTTATTAATAAAAGATTCTAGATTACTCTCTTGTCTCATCTTTGCTGTGTCTTGTACCTTCGATTATCAGTAAATATGAGTGAGAAAGGAAGCAGATAGTGTACTTTACGTTTTTCCTCTGTTACTATGAGCTTCTAGGAGAAGGGTGCTATGCCATTTACCATCACTTCCCTTTAACAGATCAAAAGGCCATCACACATGGAGATATTTGGATGAGTCATAAAGTCAGTCAGCAGTGAATGGAAGGCAGGCCCCTAACCTGAAATTTAAAAGCTTTAAGCTACATTTGTTATTTTGGATCATATGTTCAGATAGGATTATAATATGGTTACAAGTTACTTTTTAAGACTCAAATCATATAAAATACCAATGTTTCTAACGTCTATCAGTGTATGAGTTCATAATAATATGGGAAATTATTATATCAGGCTAGGATACACACATATATCACAGTGTTCACTAAATTTAAAAATGCTAAATTAGTAATATAAATATATAGTTATGGATTTGAATACCTGTGGTACCCATCTGGAGGACACAAAGCTGGTTACTTCTATTGCAGACAAGCCAGTTTTGGAAAGTTGATTGATAAATTCAATTTTTATATCTGTTGGAACTATAACCTATAAAAACATAAAATATGTTTTATAAGTGAGTTGTATAGGGTCTTCCAAATTGAAGTTGCTTCCAAATTGAAAGTAGCTATGATTTATAAATTAAAATAGTACTTAAGCACAAATGTAATCATTTAAAATATAAAATGTACATAACGTTAAAATCTTAAGAATTTCACTCTATAAAACTAATTTAAACTTACTTTTTCATTCTGCAATCCATCCCTAGGTCCAACTTCTACTATTTTAACATATTCAGGGAATCCAGATAACTGGAATGGTTCCTGAAATACAAAACATGAGAACAAGAAAAGCAAATTTAGAATACAAATTATTTAGATTGCCGGATATGTGTCTTTGGAAAGTTAAATAATTAGGACTTGTTAGATATATCCTCACCTCACAAAATTAAAACAGTAAGAAATCAACAGGCTATGATCCTGATATGCAACTTATACTGTTTTCAACACTGAAAGGATCCATTTCTTACTTCTGCATGATAGTTACTATGATTAAAATCCCAAAAGATGATTTCTAAAATATAACAATAGAATACTCGTTAAGGGCCTAAAAATAAAATATGATGAATAATTCAATTCTGTTGTTAGAGATCATTAAAAGTCTTTGTGAGCTATTCATCTGACAGGTATTAATATCAATAATAAAGAATTAAAAGTAATCTAGTACATCCAGAGCAAGCAACACAAAAACTTAAACACTAGAAGAGCAAATAAGCTATTTAGTATATGGACAAGTGAACTTAACACTTTTCTAATCAAGAAACACAAATGGCCAATAGGTATAACAAAAAAATTTCAATAAATAATATGAACAACCTTAACCAGCAAGAAAATTCACATCAAAACTGCATTGCAATTCCATCTTACTGAAGTCAAAGAACAACCATCAACAAGAAAATAAAAACCAAGCGTGGGCAGGAATGCAGGAAAATAATGAGCCTTTATATACTGTTGGAGGGAATGTGAGTTAGCCCAGCCACCATACAAATCAGTATACAGAAGTTTCTTTTAAAAATATTTTATTTATTATTTTTATTTTATATGTATCAATGTATAGCCTATATGTGTGTAAGTGCACCCATGTCATGAAATGCCTGTGGAACTCAGAAGAAGGCATCAGATCCCCTGGAATTGGAATTACAGACTGTTGTTATCCACCATGTGGGTGTTAGGAATCAAACCTGGGTCCTTTGCAAGAGCAATCAGTACCCTTAAATGCTGAGCTGTCTCTCCAGCTCCAGTATGACAGTTTCTTAAAAGGCAAAATGTATAACTAACATGTGATCTAGCTTTACCACTACTGGATATATAACTAAAAGAACCAATGTCATCTTATAATAGAAATATCTACAAAATCATGTTTATATGGCTGCCACTGTTTAGGATAGCTGAGTGAAAAAAATCAGTTTAAGTGACCATCAACAGAAGAATGGAGACATACAATGTGGTCTATGTATTTTATTCATCCATAAAGAAACATTATGCTATTTTCAAGTAAATAGATGGAAATGGAGGTCATCATGTTAATATGAATAAGCTCATTTCACAAAGATAAATATTACATATTTTCTAATGTATGTGAATTTACTGGGAAAACATGCAAATAAAAGGGAGAGAGCAGGGGATATGGATGGTGAAGGAAAGAGGGGGAGAATAAGAAAGGATAAAAAAGATATAAAATAATCTGATCCAAATATATTACATATATATATATGTCATACTAGGGGCTACAGAGATGGCTCAGTGATTAAGAGCACTGGCTGCTCTTGCAGAGGACCCTGGTTTGGTTTCTAGCACCCACACGGGAGCTAAGAGCCATCCATAATCCAGCTCCAGGGGATCCGATGCCCTCTTCTGACCTCCATGGGCACTGTATGACACAGGTGCATTTACATACGTGCAGGTAATACACTCATACACAAAAACAAAAATAAATAAAATATTAAAAAGATATGTCATAATAAACATATAACTTATACAGTCAATATATACTACTTTAAAAACAGTAAAATAGTTTTTTGTTTTTTTTCTTTTTTTTAATTAACTGACTTCAACGGTGCCAGCCAGTGCTAGACTCTGAACCTGTGGGTTGGTATTTTGGTTGGTGAATAGACAGCTGACATTAACGAGGAAAGTGCATTTCTTTTCCTTGTCAAACATTACAGTTCCCACCAAATGCTGCTCACTGTTCAACCCTTTCCAAACAGGAGTTATCTTATTGTCTCTTAATAGTCTAGCTGGTCCTAGCTTTTCCACTATAGCCAAGAGGGAAAACGGATTGGATTTTTGAATCTCCATCCCTAGATTAAGTACTATGGACCTAATTTAGAAGATGAGTTTACCTTCTAAATATATCTAATCAAAAGGTTAACATTTAAAAAAAAAGCATGCATACAACCTATTGAATCTAATTAATTCCTGAATTTCAGATCAAGTTAAAATGAGATGTGTGCTACATCATCTCCACTTAATGCTGTGTGCATCTGAGCGAAGTGTGGGCCCCTCATGATCATGTCTTCATCAACTTAGACAGTCAGGACCTGTGCTTACCTGTTTTGGCTTTCATCAAATACAATGAATTCAAGCTGAACAATTCATTTAGTTGTCTCTATCCTTGTCTTACACAAGTGAGGTGGTGATATACTTTTTATTAATTTTTGAGAATTTCATACATAGCTACATTGTATCTAAATAATTTCAACCCCTTACATGCCCCCTTCCAATGTCTTTGTCCTCCCATTACCCACTCTCAAATTCATGCCCCCTTTTGCTATAATTATTATTGTTATATATGAATATACATACATATATACATGCATACAACCTATTGAGTCTAATTAATATTGCTCATATATACATGTGTTTGGGGCTTGAGCACTCCAGGTTAGGAGCTTGTCCCTGAGGAACATTGATTCACCCTCCTTCAGCAATCATTACTCCCTGTGGGGTCTCTCCCTTCCCTCGTGGGTCATTGGCCACTGGTCGACGAGGACAAAGGGAGCAGAAGCGATGAATGGAGTCAGGACAGCCAGTGAGCACTGACGGAAGAAAGCCCTTCTGGGGAGGCAGGTTCAGTGATGCAAACAGCTCCAGACTCAGTGAAACAGCTCCAGATTCAGTGAAACAGCTCCGTTTATTCAGTGGGGGTTAGGAAAAATATAGTGTGGAGGCAGCAGCCAATGCTTCAGCTGATAGATGCTCATAGTATGCTTTATTTACATGTGGCAGGGGATCCTATCATCTGACTATCAGGCAATGCCTAATTATCATACACAAAAAACCTGGGGGTAGTTTTTACTCCAAGTAACTATGCCAAAGGTCATGTTTTAAATGAGGCCAAGCATCAGTGCTTGGCAGCACTTTCCAGGTAAGTCAGGCAGAAAACCCCTGCTGTAAAAGGAGCCAACCTCAACAACAGGGTTACCCAACAACTCCCTATAGCTTTTCATCTAATTGTGGGGCCTTGTGAAATTTTCTTCCACCCATGTTGGCATATCAATTAGCATGGCCATTGAAGTTCTTTTGCAGGCAACCATCTGCTCAGAGTTCAAAGGAGCATCATCCCTATTGTATAGAGAAAGTACTATTTCATAGACAGAATCCTGGTCCTCAGGCTTTTACAATCTTTCTTTCCTTTCTTCCTTGATGTTCCCTGAGCCTTAAGTATAGGGGTTGTTTTATAGATGCCTCATTATGGGTTAGGCACGCAATACAAGGTGATTTTTCTCTGTATTTTGATCAGTTGTGATCACTGTAATAGCCTCCATCTGCTGTAAAAATAAGCCTATTTTATGAGGGGTGAGAGCTGCACTTATACATGGATACAAGGATCACTATTCAGACGGTAGTTAGAAACTATGCTAATTTAACAAAATGGTAGTAGAAGTTTCCCCCCTAAGGTTTATGACCTCTCCAGTTGGCTAGGTTTGCACTACCAGGCAAGAGTTCATTCCTACTGAGTGGACCTTAGATTCAGTTAGAATGCTGTTGGTTACCCCCAAGATAGAAGTGTCACTATTGCACCACTGGGGGATATCTTTTCAGCCAGTTGAAGTGATCATTTGATGCAGGACCCAGTTTGTGTGTGTAAAAAAGAAAATAGCTCATTGGCCCTTTTGGTATCCAAAGTTGCTGCATGTTTTATTAGCATTTTGCATTAATTCAGTGGAAGAACCCAGTGGTCCCTGGTACAATTTTAATAAACCATCTTCCACAATTTCTGTGAAATTGCACAGCTCATTAACAAAATTAACTGAAAAGGAAAAGAATTCTCATTTCTGCATCTTCTGTTCGGGTTATGAGGCAAGAAACTAACTTAGGAGGGGGGATGAAAGGGGTGCACACTCTCCTCAGTTTGGGTTCGGTCCTGGATGACAGTATTGAAATCATGCCTACAGTTGGAGTGGCTATAATTTGGTCTCAGAAATAAACACGAAGTATGACATTGGCAGATACAGTAAGGAGAGAAGCTCCATTCTCTATATTACTTCTTGTCCTCAAATGGCAGAAATGAGACCAGAGAACATCAAAATGAGGTGATTGTAATTGTGACCTCATTATCATTGTTTCCAGTACAATTTCATCAGAAACTATCTTACAACATACATGGACACAGAGTGCTATTTTATTAAATGGGACTGTTTACTCATAAATTAAAGTGTTTATAAAGTAAAAGCAACATGTAGTCTACAATTAAAGAGCATCAATGTGATTTGGTTGGTGTTATACACAAGCATATGAAGAAAATCAACAATTATGGCCATTTCAGTCAAAGGAGAATATGTGCTTATTTTATGTGTTTTACTTTTCTTATGAATTTACTCTCAGTATTTAGTCCTTCTAGACAACTTTAAAGAAACAAGTGATAGAAATAATTCCCTTATGCAATCAACACATATTTGTTATGCACAATCCATGTGTCATAATGTGTGTTGGATTTATGTCAAAATATAAGCAGTTATAAATGGACAAATTAAACCCAACCCCTAGCCCTAACCCTAAACCTATCTTTAACCCTTACCCTATCCCTAACATGAATACTGACCCTATCCCTAACCCTAACCCTAACTCTAACCATAACCCTATCCCTAACCCAAAATCTAACCCTAACCCTAACCCTATCCCGAACTCTAATCGTATTCTTAACCATAAACTTATCCCTAACCCTAACCCTAACTCCATCCCTTACCCTAAACCTTACCTTAACCCTATCCCTAACCCAAACCCTAACAAAAAAACCAAAATAAATAAATAAATAAATAAAT